AACATGATTTCTATAGGGAATAATTTGATATTATTTGCTGCTCAGTGACACGTGGCCACAGATTCTTTTTGGGGATTTGAGTGGATGACACTTTGCAGTTTTTTTTTCTTTCCACCTGCTTGAATGCCATCTCCTGCTTATTAACACTCCATTAATTTCTCTTGCTTTATGACCATTTGACACAAGTGCTGTCAGAGAGGTCTGGCTTTTAGAGGCTTTAAGGCACCTGGGCAGGAGTTTTTCTTTCTTTTTTTTCCCTGCTTATTACTTCTTCTCAGGCGGAATGCTATTGTCTATGTTTTGCTGTAAGGCCAAAGGAAAGTATGTTTCATAAACACTTCAAATTACAAGCAGCTACGTGGCATGAAAATCACAATCTTCTTCTGCAAAGACGTAGTTTTGATGACTGTTCTAGATCTAGATATGCCATCATAATTAAAGAATTTCTGAGATAAGCCATACCCTGCCTTTGATAAATTGGGTTTCTGTGGAAATTAATTGAGAGAATATCACAGCAACACAAAGAAACAGCATGTGGAAGTTCAAGTAAATACATTAAAGATAAACAATGGGGGGAAAACGGCGGAAGAAACACAAATCTCTTTCCCATTTAGTCCTGGAAAGGGACATTTTTGGCTACTGACGAGTAATGGTTTCTTTTTAAACTGTTAGGTCAAAAGAAATACCAGGCAATAGCTTATTTAAGATGGACAAGCATTTTATTCGACCATCCAGGTAACAGCTGAGTTGACTTGTGCACGGATATGGCAAGAACTGAAAAACATAAAACTGTGGATCGAAGCTGACAAAAAGTGGCTTCCTCCAGAGATAAACTGAACCCACCTTTTACTTGCCCATGCTCCTCTGACAGGGATGCCTCAGGGCCCTCCCCGTGGCAGAATCCTCACTCATCTTCTTCTAGACTATTTATAAGCTTGCTGGAGGGATTACAAGTCATTTCTGCATAGGAAACAACCCAACATAACACAGTCAGTTTGTATCTGGGGATGTGCATCTGTTTCCCATTTCAGTCAACAAGACACCCAATAAATGACTGGCTATAAATGAATTGCTCTCATCATTCACAGTGTGAAAATTTGCTCTGAATCTCAACAGACTGGGTCTAACAAACAGTCTGGTAACCCTAAGACAGAGGGAGAAGGAAGTTAATACAAATTTGAAATTGCGCTCCAGCTCCCCAGTCACACAGTCGTGTTTTATTAGAATGCAGAGAGAATTCTGCTTGGATGCATAGACTGCCCATGATTTGATGCTTATCAGAACAGCTTTAATTTCCTGCATTATCCCCGAAATATTCAAATGCGGTAGAGTATCTGTTTTTCTCCAGTCCGTGTCCTTGTCTGAATGACAGTCCTCACAATGAGTACTTCATGCAAAACGCAGGAGAAAAAAGAAATGGTAGTGTCGGAAAATATTGCAAGTTATTGATTGTTAGCGCTGATAAGTGAAATACTGCTAAGTGGTTTTGTAATTCCTGTGAAACAGCCCAGCTGTTGCAAAGACTAGATTTGCAGTCCAGTCATGCCTCTGCTCAAACGGCAAGTAAACGAAGGCCTTACCCTGCACCCTTCCATGGAGAGGACCAACAATGAAAATGCATGTAGTCATTTAATGGATGGAGCAAATAGTCTGGGCTTTTCCGAGGATCAAGACTCAAAGGTGCTGGACTTGGAATCTGAACATTGGGAGACCAGTCAAGCACGTCAGCCGGCGTGTAGCCCCACAGCTGCCGCTGGTAGAAACACCCACCTTTGTGCTTAACGCCACATCAATAAAGGCCAGTTGCAAATAAAACCAGTTACTTACAAGCCCTTATTCAACTTCAGACAAAAGCTGTCCGTGCAATTCAACCACAAAGTTAATAACTGTCTCTCACTTGGGTACTATCTGGATTCATTATGTGGTCATCTGACCAGCTTGGGGTCCGCTTCATCTGAGAGTGAAGACAGAAGTTGGGGGGGAAAATGGCAAGGTTGGCCTTCTCCGTTTCCCAGGGGATACAGGCAATTTTCAGCTCTAGTGAGCCAGCTCCAGAAATACGTAACACTGAACACAGAACAATACTCAAGCTCATTTATTCACATCCTCCCATGGTAGCAACTGACTTGTCACTTTTTTCCCCCTCTCTCTTTTCTTTTCACCCAAAAAAACTAAACAAAAACAGAAAGGAAATTTTGATTTACTCAACTTTCTGAATTTACTGAATTAAATTCAGTAAGTTGAAAAGTAAAAGTTTTATAAGACGCTTACAACACAAACCTAACCTACTGTGTGTAATTATTGATAAATACATTGAGTTTCCTACTCAAATTTGAATTGCCAACATTTCTTTCAAAAGTTGTAGGTAGCTCCATAATTGACAGCTCTTTTAAAAAAAAAAAAACGGTGCTGCTCTCACCAAATGATTAAAACAGCTTTGTAGCTCAGCATGTGTTAGCACCAAAGATGCTTTCCCCCCTACTACAACTTCATTACCATTGATCACTGTCTTTTAGGGAGATGAAATCAAGTTGATGGAACAGAGTGGATATCTGTAGCCTGGTGGTGACAATAGAGCATATCAATAGCTATCCTTTATGTAACAGTTACTGTAGCTGGATATTTTTTGTAAATCTTGACTTTGAAGGGTGTAAATGGAAGATTTAAAACTATGTCTTGGCTCCCCGCTAAGCTATTTTTTAAATTAATTTTTAGAAAAGGCATTCCGTGTTGAATTCAAAAGGATTTTGAGTATCTTTAGCTGACGTAAGAAAGAACACAAGTTGACAGAGATTCCTGGTCTGTAAAAATACTCATGGCATCTGAAGGTAAAAAAAGCATGGCTAAGGGAGTAAACTGCTTCCACGGTACTATGACCATCTGTATTTCTTCACTTTGCTCGTCTAATCCACATAGCTCGAGTGAGCCACAAGTGTGTCCCCGTTGTATTGTTAGTCTTTTGAATGTAAATCGGTGGTCTTTAACATTTTATGGGGATAAGCCAGTTTAGCTCCATGCCTAATGCAGTGATTGGGGATTTCTGCAACAGCAGATAAGTGAATGTTCACTGGTTTCTGAGCAGCTAGGATCAGCAGTTAAAGACCTTATGTCAAAATGACAGTTTTGGACAAAAACCGCAACTGCAGAACCGTGTCCCATTAAGATCAACTCCCACATGAATTGCTCCTTCTTATCTGACGGGATTATCATCATGTCAGCAATAGTTTTACCCCTCCAAAAAACCGACCCAAATCAAATTAATTACCTTGTCCTAATCAACAAGATCTTGGAGAAATGCCTTATAAGCACCACTCCTTTACAACTCCAATATGATGTGAGAGCACTGTGCTTGTTCTGGGCTGGGCTAGGAAACCAAGAACATGAAAAAATTCCATAAAATGATTTTGTCCGTTTATGTTTTGATTGCAAAAACGTAGAGCAAAATAAGATACTTCTATGAACATGTCTGCCTACAACCATAATACCTTTATGTGATATTGCCACCTTAATTTTGTTGGAAAATCAAACTAAGGTCTACATAACAGGTCTTTATTAAAAGTGAAAGAGTGGGTCACTTAGGGATCAAAAGGATTTCATAGCGCCATGTGAAGAGAATTTTCAAGTGTTACTTGGAAATGGACCTTTGAAGATGAAGTCAGCCCTGGTTTAGTCAATAATTCCTTCTATTCTATTTTTTTTTTGCCGTATTTTCTATTCAACTCTTGTCAGCATGAAATGTGTTGGGTGTATAATAACACTCTTATTAAAAAATGTATGCGCCCATTAACGGAAAATGCATTTGGAAACATGTTCACATGAGAGAAGAAATAAAGAGACTTTAAATAAAGCAACAGGAATTGTATGATAGAAGGTGTTTAGAAATTAAGTAGTGAAATTCGGCAGGCAGACAGTCTTATGAGGGAAATAAAAGGCTAAACTGATGGTGGTGGAGGTAACATACAAGAAAACAGAAAGATATTTATATTTTGTTTTCCTTTTTAGTTATAAATACTTCTATGCAGAAACATTGGTCAATACAGTTTTTTAAATTTGGTTTCCTTGTACGTAGTCAGTATGTGGCATACATTTACCATCAATAAAGACATTTCCCTATTTTCTATATAGAAACATAATATTTCTACATTGTCCTTCTGATTTCTATGAAATGGTTGCTTGTCAACATTTTAAAGTCATTATTAAACGTTCACACAATCATATGTGCAACTTTAAAATATAAAAAGCCTTAGACTTTCCTTTGCAAATATATATTTAACAAACAGACAGCCAAAATGCCAAAGCAATCAAAATAAAGACGCAATTAAAAGTACACCCATACTGCTTCCATTAGAATCTAAATGGGAAGAGTTGCCAGGAGAAAGCATTTTTACTATATTAAAAAAATGAAAGCAAAGCTTAACATTGTTTGGTTGCCATTGAATCATATATCTGGAGCAATATTCCTTGAAAATCAACTATTTGTGACAAAATCTTTTTTTTTCTAGTGTGTGTTTTTTAGTTTTTTGTGGGTGTGTTTTTTTAACTTCTCAACGACATAACAGGTGTCTAATGGGAGATGTTATTTATGCACTGATTATAAAAAATGCAAGCCGGAAATCTGTCGTTCTTGTTAGCCAGCTGCAGTAATTGTTGTACCTGCCAAAACTGTGACCATTATTTGATTAATTAGATGAGCCTAACGCTGGATGCAAACAGGAAAGGGCACAGTGCTTACTGATGGTTTGATGGAGCCCATCTATTTTTGTCATTTATCCGTGGATACTAAATGTGCTCTGCACTATCATCATCAAGTTAAATGATGGCAGGGAACCTAAAAAAAGCACTTTTTTTTCTGAATGGCTGTAACTAATGAGGTCTTTCCAAATAAGTTAATTGTATAATCTGCCTTTCTTCGAACCCTATTGTATATGCTATTTCAAATATCTCAAAAAAGCAATCAGCTGTTTAATTACAAATTTCTCTTCTCTTTTACTTTCTCGTAGGTTCCATCTGGGTAGGAGGCGGCACCAAAAGACCAAATGCAATGGATGTGTTCAATTTCACATACTGGAATGCCTCTGAAGGCAATGAGACCGAAGTTGTGGAAGAAAGCAAAAGCGCCTACAAGACTGTGGAGGTGGTGTTCATTGTGTTGGTGGCTGGTTCCCTCAGTTTGGTCACAGTTATTGGCAATATCCTGGTCATGCTCTCCATCAAAGTTAACAGGAACCTACAGACTGTCAACAACTATTTTTTATTCAGTCTTGCATGTGCTGACCTGATCATCGGACTGTGTTCTATGAACTTGTACACAGTTTACATAGTGATAGGCTACTGGCCCCTGGGGCCGGTGGTGTGTGACTTGTGGTTGGCTTTGGACTATGTTGTTAGCAACGCATCTGTCATGAATCTTCTCATCATAAGCTTTGACAGATATTTCTGTGTCACCAAGCCCCTCAGCTACCCTGTAAAAAGGACCACCAAAATGGCAGGGATGATGATTGCAGCTGCTTGGGTCCTTTCTTTTATCCTCTGGGCACCAGCCATTCTCTTCTGGCAGTTCATTGTTGGTGGGCGGACAGTGCCTGAGAAGCAGTGCTACATCCAGTTCTTTTCCAATGCTGCCGTCACTTTTGGCACAGCCATTGCCGCCTTTTATCTGCCCGTCATCATCATGATCCAGCTATACTGGCAGATATCCAGGGCAAGCAAGAGCCGTGTGAAGAAGGATACCCGCAAACCGTCGGGAGCCAACCCTGAAGCTCTGTCCCCCGTCCAGAGGAGAAACAGCACACCCAAACCCAACAATAACAACGTGCCGGGGGAGGACGCGGGACACTCCCGGAACCAGACGGCCGAAGATGGGGCGAACCAGCACGAGGGGAAGTTACAAAATGGCAAAGGCCCCTCCCCCACCACCGCTGATGGAGAGACCGAAGGCGATGACGGGGCGAGGGAGAACTGTGCCCCTGGAGAGGAGAAGGAGAGCTCCAATGACTCAACGTCTGGCAGCGCGGCCGCTTCCAATCAAAAGGAGGAGGAGCCAGTACCCTCCGCAGCCAACTCCAGCGCCGAGGCAGGCCAGCAGGTGCCACGTCAGCGAGCCAAGGCCGGGGCCTCCAAACTGACCTGCATCAAGATCAAGACTAAGTCACCTAAGGGTGACTACTACACACCATCGAATGCCACCGTTGAGATCGTTCCAACCTCGGAACGGCAAAATCATGTAGCTAGGAAGATTGTGAAGATGACTAAACAGCCTCCAACCAAGAAGAAAAAAGGGGCACCATCACGGGAAAAAAAGGTTACCCGTACCATAATGGCCATCCTGGTAGCTTTTGTGGCCACCTGGACTCCATATAATGTGATGGTGCTCATTAACACCTTTTGCTCCAGCTGCATCCCCAATACAGTATGGACTATTGGTTATTGGTTATGTTATATCAATAGCACCATCAATCCAGCCTGCTACGCCCTGTGCAACGTCACGTTTAAAAAGACTTTCAAACATCTTCTCCTCTGCCAGTATAAGAATATACGGTCAGCCAGATAAATACAGGCCACTGTGGGGGAAGAGCACTGAAAGATGACTTGCACGTTTCTGTATGTTGTGTTTGTTTGTGGGTGTGCGTGTGTGTGGGAGTGTACTATTCATGCACAAGTGTTCGTCTGCAAAAGAGATAAAAATAACCGATAGAACACCATTTCAACCTTCTTTTTAATCATTTTTCCATTAGTTTTCGAGTTTTTCTCAATAACTGGTTGTAGCACTTTACAGGTATTCAGCTGAGGCCAGCTGCAGAAAGACGCATGGCGCAGATTCATTAAGAAGGCTGGGAAAGGAAAATCATGTAAGATGGTACGTTAAAAAAATTGCTTGTGTTAAGTGGGAGAAAAGTGAGTGACGCTGAACTGATAAAAAGAATATTGAAGGCATAAGGCATGGGAAGATCTGTGCTGTATGGGAAATAAAAAGAAAACTTCAAAATGGGAAAATAGGGCTGACTGAATTAACAAACCTCCCGAGTTTGAACTTCAGTGAAGATACTTGTAGATATCTGTACATAGGAGTGTATACTCTCTTTGTGTGTGCATTTGTGGGTGTGAGCTGGCACTACGTTTGTGTGCACACCCCTCTGCTTGCCTTCTTTTTTGCGTGTAAACATCGTTATGGCACTTCAATCTGCGAAAAGCAGAACTAATTGATGTGTTTTCTGTAGATTGCCTCTGACACCGTCAAATCAGGACTCATAGCTATCCCATGTATTCAAGAGCCCCATGAAACTAAATTCTCATAAAAACAGAATAGACAGAAAGTAATATGGTTTCTAATTTATGTTAAAAAAAATTATACTCTTTTGTAAACATTAGGAAATTACATATTACTGTGTGGTGTGTGATAGAGTTTCTTTTAATCTTTCCCTATTCCTAACTTTGAAAGACACAGCTATAAAGATAAATAAAGAATGGTTTTATAATTTTAGGCAAACTGTGTTTACAGATACTTTATCTTATATAATTTCATGAGCTTTTTAGGGACCTGGAACCCTCTCTTAAAGTATTCACGTCACATTATAATCCCTTAAGATTAACATTTGTTATGGTGTTTAGGATGACTTCATTCTTAGAACGCCCTCTTTTATCAGGGTTATGTTTATTTAGGTCAAAATATGATTAACATTGGCTAATTTTCTGTCACAAACACCCACCATGCATGTCCTTCTGCATGTCTTCACAAGGCATCACATGACATGTTATGGATTTATAATCTACCTGAAATGTGGACATTGTCGATGGACACGAGTAAATTAGTAAACCAGAAAAAATGATTTTTGTTTTTTGTCTTTCTAAATGGAAAAGTGTGTGGCCAATCTCATTCTTCAGATAAAATACCTAATGAATTAATGAATCCACTAGAATAATGAACATGCCCCGAGATTACAAAAAGGTAACTGGTGAATCCATAATTGTATTCACTAAGGTTTCCACCCCCACTGTCAGTCCTAATGGGTTCATTCATATCCAAGTTAAATGAGTAGATACCAATCATTATTTTCCAATCATTGTCTTAATGTAGCATTGAGTTTAGAAATTATTGCAAAGACATTAACTACAACTAATTAACATGTTTTATTGCATTTTTAAGAATTCAGTTTTACGACTTGTTATCCAATTGATTATGTGAGGAACATTATTTTTCTTTTGTCAGTTTAACGAAATCACAGCATCTAGTAGTCCGGAAGCAGTCACTCAGTGTTGTCACATTTAGCATTTTTTATGGATTGTACATGACAAGAAGTTATTGGACAAAATCAGCCATGCAAGATTACAGAAAACAGCCAAGCAGATCCAGCTGTATGGACAAACCCTAACATGACCAAAATCAACTGAGAAGACAAAAAAGGGGGATTTAGATTGTTCAGCCGCCCTCATTTTCCACCAAAAACTCATCACTTCTGCTTCTATCAGTGGCAGGATGTCAGGTGTTTATTTCCTTTGGCAGCTACTGGCGTTCTGTTTGCTGTCAAGAAACTTCCTTCTCAGTGGGTGAAACGTCTGGTAGGAGCTCAGAGCTGTCCCAAATTCTTTTTGGCATGGCTACATTTCGTGGAGTTGTGTGCATGGATGAGCAATGGACTGATTAGTGGATCGATGCCTTGTAACTGACAACACTGGAGTGTTGGTGTTCGTGAAGACCCTCCTATGTGTGAATATACATGGTGACATGTGTTTGTGTGATCCAAGGCTGGTGATTACTTCTGATGACAGATCACAGCCTTGTGATTTTTTTAAAAAGGGCTATTTCTGTGGTTTTACATAGTTGTTACGACTTCATCTCCATTTGATCTTAAAATTCATTTGAGTTGATCTATTTCGAATAACCACTGTTAAATTGAAAGTGATAAATGGTAGTGTTTATTGTAAAGGTAGAAGAAATTAGAAATTATCAATTTAGCGAGAGGCACGTTCTGAGCATTCACGCATGTCATCCATCACTTCAGCCTATTAAACCATTCTCAGTTACAATAATGTATGCTCACTAGTTGAAATGATGAATATGCAAGAGCATTTTCCATCAGGAGACTGCCAAAGCCACTGGTAGGGGGGCTTTGCAAAGAATTACGCCTGCACCGAACCGCTCCTCAAGGCTGTCGGCTTTAAAGAGAGATCTGGGACAGATCCTATAATGAAAACTCACCATGAGGCTGATCAGATTACGGGCCAGTGTGGAACACCTACATTTGAGATTAAAGACTGCCCATTACACGCTCAGCTCATGCTTGTGTGCTATGTGCCCGTGTCCCACTTTTTGCTCTGCTCAATGGTTATCATGGTATGATTTAGATCTTATATAAGGTCACGACTGTAACGTGAACATCTCAAGTAATTTCATTAGCTCGCTCCTTTTACCCATCAGGGTCTTTTTTTTTTATCTATTTCCCCAAATAGTGCCTTACTCCCAGCTAAATTTCATTGTATAGCTCATGGTGCCATGGTGGTGGGGAGAAAACATTCATACTGTTGAACACAAAAGGCATTTAGTATCCAGAGAATTGCTCTGCGAGGGTCAACTTTTACCCGGGAGCATCCCACATCGCTTATTGTATTTTATACAGAATATTTTTCCTCCATACTAATAAGTATGAAAAAACTAACCCAACAGATATTACTTTGGACAGCAGTGTCCTGCAGTTTTTAGATGTTTCTCTGATTCAACTCTCCAGATTCCAGATAAAAAAATGTTTAGCTCGGCACAATCCTGCTAATGGTGCCCAGGTGTCACTGTACAGGAATGTTTGCATTCTGCAAAAGAAGGGGCATCATTTTTATTTATGCATTTATTCATTTATTTCATACAGGTCAAATAGGCATCATTAGTTGAAGGGAGAGATGGAAGAGTGAGGGGGAAGGGAGAGAATAACGCACAGCAAAGGGACACAGGCTCAGGCTCGTTGTTGTAAAAATTGCAGAATCTCAGCGTCTATAGTCTCACCAGAATGGGGTGTCATTTCGAAGTTGTTTAAATCAGTGCTTGAGGCCCAGCCCAAAGATTGAAGTGGGACGTGAGGTTTGCATGTATAAAAGGAAAAATAGAATTGTGACGTATTCATTAAATTACAAAACTCTTGTGTCAGGATAAAGACGATTACACACACTGTTGGAACAACAATATCCTGTGTCGTGTTCTTCACTTCGCAAAGTGCTCGTCTCTCTTATTTATTTCTTTAATCTATGGGAAATGAGGTCTTGAAAGCATCAACACATTTGTCCCGAGTTAATACGTTTTTGATTAGAGCCCGTACCTTACTGAAATATTCACAACTGGTCCAACAATCACAGAAAGACTTCCTTTGTGCTCTAATTTGTTTTGTGGTGCTGTGCTAGTGTCTTTACGTGCCAATATACAACTCCACACTTGGCACGTAAATGTATTTTGGGAGGTAATTCTGTTTTAGGCCCTGCGTCCAGGGTGTTCCCCACCTCTCACACACTGACCACTGGGATAGGCCCCCGTTCCCCCACAACCCCATTAGGGAATAAGCGGTAACAATAATGGATGAATGGATGGATTCTGTTTTTCTGATTTCGATTTGTATTTAAAAACAATTTGAATGTCAGATTTTTATCATTTCCAATTTTCATCATTTCTGACTGCAATCATTAATATTAGCAACCACATAGATGTTAAAGACTTCATGACCCTTGTGACAGTTACAGGCTTCTTTCAAGCTTTTAAGAGTTTGAGATTCTTTCCAAGCAGCTTTTTTATTTTACAAAAGGAAAAAGGATGTTTTCAAAAGATTTGAAAGATTATTCTACAGCTGCGTTTGCATATTAGTGTGCAAGTGCCTTTACAGGTTTAGCAGCAGGGAAAGTGAGGGTGCATCTTTTTCATTGGTTTAAATCATGTAAATTCATGCAAAACCATACAAATTGATGGTGCTTTAAGATGGGGCATTCTATCCCAGCGACAAAGATCATCAGATGGGATATCAGCTTTCAGTCACAAAAGACCACTTTGTATGCCATCATCTCGAGTGTCACTAAAGAAAATGTGTACAACCATTGAAGCAATTTATTTAGTTTTTTAACAGAAGGTAATGTAAAACTGATTATTGTGAAAGGAATTTCCCCAATGTCATGTTGCACAAATGCAATCAACTCATTAAAATGTACAACTCGTGTGCTGCTAACAGGCAGCTCCAATTATATTTTCACTTTTGTAGCACTGTGTGTGTTAGTAACAATTAAAGCTGCTAAGTTAATAGAAACTGTATGTCCTAACACGATTTGCATCCTTAGGAAAGTGCTTTTATTGGCAGATACTGCACCCAAACGGTTTATTGACTTTGAACATTTACTGATCATCAAGATATGGCATGTTTTGATCTCTGCAAGGACCAATGATGCTTTTATTGGCAAGTTTTTATCGTTGGAATATCGAAAAAGGACACATAGCTGATGCCTCGCTCATCTTTTTTGTTATTGGTAAAGTGAGTGAAAGAAAGGTTTGAATTTTTGGTCATTTTTGGACTGTAAGGAACAGCTGCATCAGTATTGACTCGTCTCATTTAAATATGCAGCTTCCAGTCATTTATTGTCAGTGACAATGTAGAACTGACAAAGTAGAGTGAATTCACTGATGTAGAATTCATTTGAATCAAAACATATAAACCATATCCTTTAATACAGTATATCTCAATATAGATAAGTTTTATTGAAGTTTTATTTATCTACTTAAGTTTTTTAAGAGGTTTACTGGTTTATACAAAACATTGATAAAAACATATCCAAATATGTTATGTATTTAACAAAAAGGAATAGTTTTGTTATTTGATAAAACATAGTAATTGGAATACATGATTCATAGGCATGCATAGGCATTCTGTTCATATGTATGTTTTATTGATACATGTTTGTTTCAAATAGCATTGCAAAAAGTAAATGTAAATAACTTTAGTTCATTCTTTCCCTCCTTTGGAACATTCATTGGCGTCCCGTGTTTAATCGCAAACTTTTATCCAGAAGTGCGCCATCCATCTGACTTGAACATTCAAACATCTGTCACACTGATAAGTGGAGCCATTTCTGTCTGACATGTGTCACACCTCAATAGTGAGCAAAAAGCTTTCCATAACATCCTATTAGTCTTTACCAAGCTGTTGTTTGAGTGATACCAGCAGGACGGTAAGTGGCTCTCAGCTCTAGCGGCCCATAGGTCTGACTTTGAGCAGCTGCTTGCTTATTTGGTGGAACGTGTTGGAAGTTTATCTCCCCCTTAGAGCAGGAAAAGGGGCAAAAAATGCATCCAAAAAATGGAGGCACTTACCAGAAGAGCAAAGTTCTTGTAAACAGTTCCGCCCACTTTGTGGAGAGGATGAAAGCTAAGAGACGATCTTGTATCGGGCCTTGTCTGGAAGGGAATCGGGAATGTTGGCTCGTGATAGAACGACAGAGTGTTGCTCCGTGACAGTGAAAGAGTGCAGCTGTCATGCATATGAGGGAGAGAGGCATCTGATGGCCCCCAGGTGCGCCTTGTATTTATGCGAGACCGATGAGCATGCCTTTGTCATCGTGGTGACTAAGTGGTTGGAGAGTGATGAAGAAACGGAGGGAGGCTGCATTCTGGTTGAGAAAATCCAAAGCTAAAAGACAGTGAGTGGGCCATGTTTGGAGAAGTTACAGCCATTCTGGGCAGGTCAGCCAAGGGTTTTCCTGCAGGAATTTCAGCGTCTCAGATGAAATTGAACGCTTTACGATACAGCGCCACGTACTGCTACTCCTGTTCCTTTTCCTGCACGTCATCCACACCGTACAAACAGACATTCTCCCTTTGTAGTGTCACGGTCATATAGTTCACATTTTATGAGTGCAATTTGGTTCAATGACCTACACGTATTGGTGTCCATTTGTGTAATAAACAGTCTGTTGTGTAATCATCAGGTCATGATGTGCCGTCAGAGCCAGCTGGGCTCCCGTTGAGACGGCTTATGTCAAAGGGCTACACTCCTTTTACGGAGTACTTGCGATATGGAACGTTTATCTAAGACGACTTCCAAATTTAAGGTTTCTCTGGCTTCGCTCTCAGGGTGGGGGGTGGAGGGGGGGGATGCTGCTGAGTATAAGATCAACAACTTGGTGCGGAAACAAGAGCATGAAAACACAGCGGCTTCTTTGTGCTGGGGAGAAATTATCAGAGATGAAGAATATATATATATATCGCCAGATTGTACCGAGCAATTTGAAGTGCCTTATTCAGAGTGACGTAAATAAATTGCTCTTTTATCCTGAAATCCCTGTTGTGTCCTCAGAGTGTCTGTGCTGAGAGTTATAGATTGTGCTGTTGTGTGATGCAGATTAAAGCGCATGTTAATCAGTCTTCCTAAATATACTTTTTGCCTCCCCCCCCCTCCCCCTCCCCCGCTCTGAGCTCCCGGTACATCTCGACAGAGACTGCTCGGTGGTAGAAGAAATGATGAGTTTCGGCTGAACAATCTAAAGTGATCATCTCAATGCCTCTGAAATAATAAAAGTCACAGCAGTGACAGATTTCAGTAATATCGTGGCCTCACTGTAGGCTGTTTTGGTTAATTTTCCATCCAACATTTAGGTATGTTCTTATTTCTCACATGGGAAATTGTGCTGTGTGAACCCTGGGTGTCTGTTGTGTCCAGATCGCTCTCTGTCATCAATTTCTGTGTGCTTGGGTGGGTATGCATGCAGTTTGCTGTGTATATTTTTCTTTCCTAAAAGGCAGCCTCAGCATGAAGACATCAAAACGATCAAAAAATATCATGAGAAATATCAGGGAAGATAACCACAGTGTAAGTGTATTTCTCTGCCATCCCTTCATCCTCAAGCAGTCTTTCAGTTGTAAAAGCTTCCAAAGACTCACTTTGACGCAGCTCTCTGTGCTACTGGATCACATGTAGATACATGATATTGTACATTTTATAGCGCATTTTGTAAATCAGTGTCTTTTATCATTGTACAGAGTACAAATGTCGTATTTCAAATTAGAATGTTGATGTACAGCTAGAATCTCATTTTTGGGTTTTGAAACCTACTTAAAATCTAAAATATATTAATACTATGGATTACAAAAGTAATCAAATAGAATCCTATAACAAATATAGTATGACTATGTGCATTGGTGGAAGTTGATTCACCAAGAAGTGTATTTCTACTGGCCAAAATGAGACTGGACAGTAACTTTTAGACCTTGCAACCCTGGACAGTAACTTTTGCCCTGTTCCAGGGGATGTGACTAATGACTTTCGCTGCTAGGGAGAGAGAAAAAAAAACAGGAGAAGACAAAAGGTAAAAACCAGTTTCAGTGTAGTCCGAAAGCCCATAGGCAAGCCGTTTCATTTTGATTTCACCTGTAAATTTATGAGGCTTCACACCCACTCTGGGAAGAAGCTGCTTCACTCGCTGGACACAGTATAACTTTTAGCAATTTCACCATCCTGAGGAGTAAGGGGAAGCTTTGTTATGTAGCCCGTGTGTTGGGGGATTGGGTTTTGTGGCCCAGTTTGAAATTATAGGGTCACAAAACACAGAGATTTAATGTAAAAATAATTGTTTTATTCTTTTTTCTGAGACTTTTTGTTTTTCAAATCTCAGTGGCCTGCTGCTAGTGTTAAATGTACATCCTGGTGTTAAGTTCCCATCTGCCTATGTATGTAGATGTTCATTGTGTATTCACTCATTGTGGCTTGTGGCTTCTCTTGCAATAGAAAAATTAAACTCAACGGTGTATTGTTCGCATTGTATATATCTATACGAGAATACATTGTATAAGATTCAAATGCCGTACATTTGAAATGTACATATACATGTTTAACAGAAACTAACTGAATGTTCCCCCTAAAGAAATCCCTCATTTATTCTGCCCCCTTTCTCCCTCTATGATACTCTCTGTACAGAAACATTGGTATCCAGTTTTGATGCATTCTTGGCTATTTGTTCTAGACAACAAGTGTTTTCACCAACCACCTATGACACTGTAAGATCAACTGCATTAAGTGGTTACATTGTACAATATTCTCTTCAAATGAAATTCCAATAAAAGTATACGAAATGTGTTTGAAATTAGTTTTTTATTTCGTTTTATTCGATCGACAGAGGACACAAGAAGGAAGAGCAAATGCTTTTGGTATTCTTTTTTTTTCAGAATTTTCATCTCATTTTACAATTTTCTTATTGCAAATGTTGAGGAAATTCAAGGGAATGTTAAGCTCAGACATCTACATTGATGATACATTTGGGAGAGTCAGAATGTCACCAAATGCGGGAACAGGTTGGTTCCTAACAGCAGCAAGAGTAGGTCAAACTAAAAACAGGTTGCACAACAGCACAGCAGTTATTACATGCATTCCACAGTTCCACATAGTTATGTTTAACTTTTTTTTAACATTGCAAATGTCTTCTTTTCTTTTTTACTTTTTTTTTTAAATGAAGACGTTTAAAGCTTAACATTTAACAAACTGCTTCATTAATTCAGAGCAGGAACCAAAGATTTTTTTTAAATTAGAGTTAGGGTATTCGACTGTAAAACAAACCCTAGGCAATTTGCTCTTAAGAAAACAATCCTACAAAAATATCATCATTAAGCGCAAACACTAGTAAACAAAAATTCTCATTATCCTTTCCTACAACTGTGAATTATGTTTCCTATAGCAACATACAAGCTGTTTACCAAGTGCTAGAAAGAAGAAAAAATAAAACACGTCACTAAACGCCATGTTTCCACTTGTCCTACCGTCAGCCTAGAGGACATATAAAGAGGAACCACATAGAAATCGGGCAGTGGATGTCTTTCCACAGTCTTCTTCCTTCTTCTCTAGCAGAAAAAAACCTTCTTAGTCCTTTTGGGTGCGGTCTCGCTTCTTTCCCTCCTCCTTTTGCTTCTTCGCATCTATGAGAAAACACAAAGAATTATAATCTGTGTACTTTTCGGTTAGAACTTTGCCGCTAGAGGAGGTACAGTTGAAAATAAACAAATCCCATTTGCTCCTATTATGAGAGTCAAAGCCGGGTTATTTCAGATTGTGATAGTTGTATGGGTTTTAATCAGCCGGAATAACAGTGCATGCTTTGTTCTGTAGCACTGCTGTCTTCAGGGTATTGATTTAATGGCTTGTTATTCATCCCATTAGGACTGACTTTATAGGCTTGCAACAAGAGTGCATTGGCACTAATGTTGGTGGCCATTTTGTTTGCCTATCAATCTGGGTGTAATTTATAGGCAGATTCAGAAGTTAGATTTGGGTTATTTTGCTTTACAAATATCCACACTTGTCACGAATTGACAAATTAATTTGCATTAGTTTCATTTGCAAATACAGAAATATTTATTTGAAATAACTGCTCCATTTTCTTCATTAATGGCCATTTATGGTTTTCTCTTTGATGTTTGAGCAAGTGCCAAGGTAAAACGGACAGTTCACAAGTTTAAGAATCCTCTTTTAACAGATTAAGGGTTACAAACAAGTTAAGTGCTGTTTTACATGATAGGATGGTATTCAACACTTTCACTTGCACCCACGTACTGAATCAGAATGTAACTGCAGTAGCGAGCTGACTTCAGAACAAAGAAAAAGAACCTTGATGAATGGCCGAACAAACAGCATGCAAATTGCTTAGTGATGAGCTTTACGGTTGCTACTTATGGACAGACTTTTTTCCGCAGCTTCTTTGTTTCATCTTGGCTTTAGCTGTAGTTAAAATGACGGGTTTACAAAAAGTCAAACGCCACATTTAAAAGGATGGCTTTGTGATGACAATTTCACTCTTTACACAAATCCGCCGGTTGCTTGTATGGCTTACATGCTTGGAGTTACTAAGCCAAGCTTTCTGTCTTAAGACACATTGAGCAACGATGTCAGCCTGGCTAATCCATGTCCCCCGTCTTTTTTCTTAAATTGTGGATGTGATCCAAAGCAAGTACCTAAAGCGTTTTGTGATGACAGACTCTGTACCATCTGTGTTGTTTTCTACATCCAGTCTCCGGGCTTAACAAATGCATTGAATGTGAAATATGTCACCTTGTTTCTATTAAGGCCCCTCAGAGGCCCAAATGTAAAACAGAACAAGCACATATTAAAAAACGATCAAAATCTAGAAGATTCACAGCAAAGAAGCACAGTGAGAACAAAGAAATGCTTTAATTAATTTTCAATTGAAGGGATTATCTCAAAAGGAGACCTCCACTATGTCCAAATTCATTAATAACACGCTGGCAACCAGTGCTTGTTACTAGTTATGTTTCGTCAATGAGCTTTCCGCCGGGTTTCAACCACTTTAATTTCTTAGCATGCGCGAGGATGAAGTCTTCTTTGGAATATCTTCTTGTCGTGTGCCAACTTTTCATTTGCGAGAAATCCACAGAGTGCTCTCGCTCATGCAAATACATAAAATTGCCCCTCAGTTTGATTGCTTGTTTTAATTTGTTTCAATGTTCTCCTTCCCGTTCTCCCCCTGTTGTTTTGTGTCAGCATATTCTGCTACCTGGGGAGAGACTTATATTCTCTCTGCTGCACATGAGACACAAACTCTCATACCAGGCTGGAGTACTTTCTGCCGGATTTGCACCTTGCATGATGGCACTACTCACTGCATCTGACACACGCTGCTGATCGAGCTCGACCCTCCTGTGAGCAAGACCTTTTTTATCCACATTTTGCTTCCTGAGAGCCCGTTTCCTTGTAACCCTTTAGTGTGGTCTTTAGCAGTAGCTGTCTCCACTCTCTGAAGGCTCTGGACATGGTCTGTATTTCCATTGCAGTCTCCTTCTGCAAGATGCCCTTCTTTCCACACTTGTTTGACGTAAAGTGAATTTTGAATTGGGGAAATAACTAGATAGCTCTTGGGGGGAAATTATCTTACCATTTGCATCAAATGTGACAAAATCCAGATTAAGGTCAGAATCAGTATTGCAAACACTGAGTAATATTGGGGCATTATTATTAGTATTTATTTATTCTATTTTTTGGGGGGCCTTTAGAAGCAGGCCAATAAAAGAAAGGGAAATTAATAAAATGATTAGATTAGATTAGTTAGATTCATTTGCTATAACTTTTAAATCTTTAAAAGTAACAAACAGTATTTTGTCAAATTGGCAGCAAATTCATCTTTGGAGAAATCCATTGAAAAAGGCCTTTTGTTTGACCCAGGCATCGACTCATTCCCTCCTGCCCTACTGTGATCTGCAGACAGAATATAAGGTGGGGACCCTGACATTTCTACAGGCATTCATAACGCTTAATTCCTGTCCCTCTTTGTTCCCTCCATTTGCTCCACGGGGTCTGTGTCTCACCTGGACGAGACATGAAACTCTGGATCTCAGATTGCTCCCTCGGGGCTTCAAAGCATTGTCTCCTACTGAATCTGTAAATAGCAGATGCTGGTGCCATCACAGCAACCTGCTGCCGTCAGGGGAAACCTATCTCCCAAACCCAAGACTGCTGTTCAGAATTGCAGATTTGACTGGGAAGATCTCTGCGCCCAGCAGAGGGTTAGATGGCCTCTCCTCTCTTCGTCACAGTCCCTCTGAAGCCAAAATTTTTCTGTATTTTTTTTTTCCATCACCGCTCTGATCCAACTGCTGTGGACTGTATCTCTGCCATCCCCCCTGACATGCAGAGTGAGGCAAACACAATTCCCCTTCCCGTACACACCACATTTTGCAAAGCACCCCTTTCTTTTTCTGTAACTCCTTTGCTTCTCGGGGCTTATCTTCAAAATGGCAGACGCAGGAAATCATGCTTCTCTCAGATAGCTGGTCTTCCCTACCAACTTCCTCCCTTCATCTGGACCACTGTCATCCCCGCTTTGCTCCTCTTTTGCCTTCAGCTCTCTCACGCTTCTCTGACTCACTCTGCCTCCGTGCAGCCGGCCTTCCGTTGAAGTGACGAACAGGTGCATAGTTTCAAGAGGGAGCGTTTTATTCACAGCCAGCCAGTCGATCAGTGTGGCTAAATGAGGGACTCTCATGGCTCTGTAATGCTTTGGGCTCACTCTTATCGCTAATGCGAGGTATTTTATACACAAAAGGCTGGTGCCACTTGCCACGCGGCATTCTTCAAAGGGGCTGAGCGTGACTGGCTGAGCCTGTCCAGCCCTGCAGGCCCCCCAGCACACCGCAGCAGATAGAGAGTGAGAGTGAGAGTGATTAGCTATGAGCTACGGCTGTATTAATCAGGCTGGCTGAACCTCTGCCCCACCTCTGTCTGGGAGCTACGCCAGAGCCACACCTCCACCATGGGGTCAGCCCCCATTAACCTATATGCTAAAACGCTTTTAAAAAAGTGATGTATAAAAGTAATTTCTGCTCCCACTGTATAATATCATGGTGTCAGAGCTCAATTACTTTTCTGGGCTTGAGTGGTAATCAAGACTATAATAAAGTGGGTGATCTCAGACTTTTCTCCTTAAAAGGCCAAGAGGGTCTAGACGAAAACCGAGCACTCGCAATAAAAGCAGTGGGTGACATTGCTGTGTTTGTGTATATTTTGAGTGTGGGTGAATGGACGGATGAAGGGAAATAACCAAATCCTTCAGCATGCATTTCTTGCTTATTACACAAACAGTAAAGGACCTTTGGAGTCATCCCCAGTGCAGTCTACATGTCCTCTTTCAGAATTGAACATGAGCTGCAAAATCCAAAACTGCTCAAACATGAAGCATTATTCAATTGAATATGCACACATCTACATACTTGACAATCTGCACAGTAAGCAAATGTTTGGATATTTTCTTTTATGTAGTCTGAAAAGAAAAAAGGCATGTTGTGAAAACCAATAACCCAAATCCCAAAATAGGGAACTATTTCGTCTTAGAATTAAATGCATCAGTGCATAAACAACATAAGCTGTATTATCATTCCAAATAGATGGCATATGTGATGCCCGTTGCTTGTTAAAGAAATTTGTGTACCTTTAAACAATAAAACTATTCACTGGCTCGTATATTCCAACGGTGGCATCCTGCAGCATATCGCTGCACATCCTGTGAAAGGGAGCATCCCAGCTGGCGAGTGCAACGCAGTTCCTGAGGAAACTTCCCGTCACAATGCATTAATGATGTGGCACTAAGAGAAAAAACTCAACCAATCTTCACTGTGTCAAATAGAGTTCAACATAAAAATCAGGCAAAGAGCTCAGTTCACAGATGTGCGTCAGTTCAAAGTGATCCAGACTTCCTCAGGAGCAGTAGCGCCATCTTATCTTTATGATCATCAGCGTTAGCCTGCTGTGCATGTTTGCTGAAGTTACAGTGAGGTTAGACAAACTCAAAGTACAGACCTTGTGTGCACATGTGTCATCTGTTAAGTGTGATAATGTGACCGTTTATAGCCTTTGGCAACAGGTCAGCCGCCATAATGGGAGATTCACAGCGAGTCAATTACATCCTTGTTTGCAAAATTAACAAGAGCCAGAGTCTTTTGTCGGGAATTGTGGACTTCTATGGGCAGTTTTGTGAGTCCATCAGCTTACAGTGATATATTCTTTGCATCCACCTGCTTGTATTTTTCCTACTTGTTGCGTCTCAAAATGTCAAAACAGTCAAAAATTTGAACTATAAAAGTGCACTCATGGTGATTCATTTGATCTGAAAATAAGTTACTGTACTCGATCCTAATATGTCTCTATGGGTCCATTTGAAGAGTATTCTGGATGTTGTCAAAAATGAGTTATGGCTGCATTATAAAAAGAGCATATTTCAGCAGCTCTCATGATTATATTCAAACAATAACCAAGCAACTGTATCACCTGAATACATTTAGAAAGTAACTAAACGTCATTCTCATGAGGATACTTATCTGTTAAAATAGACAGCTGTGCAGATGCTTCACGCTTAATTTATGCAGCAAGCAGAAATGAAACACAAACTTTTATAAGTAAGGTTGCTTTCAGCTGTCTCTTTCACCACTTTATGAACACAGCATTATGTTAATGTTGTAAATTTAGTTAAATTAATCATGGGCCTGTCTTAATTACTCTGCTGTGGATAGCGTATGATTGACAAGTCTCTCCACAATGAGCACTTTTTTTCAAAGCAGGACTTCACAGTGGTGACATCCAATCTTTTTTATGCAGTCTTTGATGCTGAGACAGTGCTGAAATAGCTACCAGTAAATCCTTAATTACTGCTGAACCTCCACATACCAAATAATTACCCACTGTTAAACGCAGATTGGCTCATTTCTGGGAAACAGTGTGACATTACACCCAATAAAGTTAGCCTGAAAGGGCTTGAAAACTCAAATTAAGAGAATTTTGGTTTTCCTGCTACACACATTACAATCTCATTTCCAATAGAAAATGAGAAATGCCAATGCCATCAGTCGTATTTGTTGTCATATATATAATCTATATATAAATTTGTTTTGGAAATAACACAAAGATAAGACATACCGAGACAAAATTATGTGCTTCCCAAACAGGACTTTTCAAGATTCAGAAAAAAAAATAGGACTAATCAAAGGAAACTAAAATGAATAGATCAATGGACTCAAAAACTCATTCATGGAAAGTTTACATATCCTGGAAGTCAAAAAGATAGAAAGACTGGAGTCTATGTTATATTTTAAAAGGAGATGCTAATGCGCAGGAAACAGACCTTCCTCAGGCTACTAAAACAAAAAAGACCCATTAGTGAGATACTATAGCAACATTTGGAGAGGCCAAATGAACAATCAGCTTTGTCAGAAAAAAACAAAAAAAAGCTGTGATGAGGTCATCATCATAAAAAACACTGAATGCCCATGTTAGACAGCTGTGGTGATGATAATGTAATCTCCGCCACCGAGAAAGAAAAACACATATTTCCAACATTTACCCAAGTGAACAGCATACTCTGGGAAGTAGATGTCATTATCCAAGTGCATCATAAAGAAATACTTTCCAACAGGAGAAACAGGGTTCACCATAAGGTGAGAACCATTCATAAAGCTCAAGGATAAAAAGTCACATTACACACTGCCATAAAACATTTTATCAATCCATAGCAGCTTTGGAACTGTATTATTTGGAAACCTATTATAAACCTGAGTACAATAACTGGTTGAAATAAAGCGTATGACAAAAGAGCTCAGAACACCTCACGGTATTAAGCCACAGTGTCGTTTGCCAAACGGATGGCATGGACATGCACAACTTTCAAAGGCACTGGGTCACTTCTGTTTTTTAACAATGTCACGGGAACAGTTGGATCAAGTCTGAAGTCTCCTGGGATATGGTGGCTGCCCTGATTAAAGTACAGAAAACCTGACCGGACTGCGTTTCATAATGACCCAACCCATGGTGCAAAATGGACTCAGATTTTTAGTTTAAACAGTGTAAACAAATGATTCTGCATCAGCCAGGCCTGTCACCCATTGATGGAACTAAATCAAGCTTGATTTTACTTGCTGCATACCAACTGAACTATGGCAGGAAGCCACAGTTTAAGTCATTTCACTGTAAGGGTCAGAGATTAATAAAGTATAATTGGTTGATTGATCGATAGCACCTAGAGAGAACATGGAAAACAAGCTGACCGGTGACCCCGTTTGTTTATTTTGTGCCAAGGTCTGAAAATGAGTCTAATCTCTGTTTGTCTGTGACTGGACATAAAAATAAATAATTATTTTCTATTGGCCGGCAGACACCCACATCCCGTGCTTGTGTACAGGCGGCGATCCATCTGAAAGAACTCAGCACATCCTGCCCATGCCGACAGGCTGAACAATTCCAGCCAGAGTTACATTTTATCCGCCGATGATTTATTCCTTTTCTGTTTACCTTGCAGTTTCGTCTTGGGGATTTTCCTACAAGGCTTGGTGGCTGTAACGGTGGGGGCGCAGGTCGCATCCATGAGCGCTCGCTTCAGAACTCCTGTTCTGTTCATCTTGCCCGTTGCCGGGTCGCACTCGCCCCAGGACTGGAAATTATACTTGCATTCCCCTATAGCACACAAAGAAATCAGGTGTGTGATTAGATGTCTCAGGCTGGTGAGGTATGCAGAGGCAAATGCAACAGACACACAGAAAAACCTTGTACAAATGGCACACAGGGGATTCTTCATCTGTTTTAAACCCCTGAAGCTAAGAGATTTGTGAGACACAGTCCTTTAATGGCTGTTTGATGGGCAGTCATCAGTCACCTCTTCTTGTCCAGTATCCACAGCATGATTTTACAAGGAGCTTCCCTCAGAAACGGAGTATTGCTGTTTCTTGCAGAAGCAAATGCCTCACAGTTTTGATCTTTTATTTCCAACATGATGAAACCTACAAACAAATTCATGTAATCTAACAAAACCCGGCTGTTTTTAGCTTTGATATTATACTTGATCTATACGACGTACCTCAAGATAAGAAAAACAAGCATTTATGGGGTTGACCTGCTGTGTTGTTGATTGTACGTTCAAAGCAAAACTCAATCGGGATTGCTTTAGAACATGTTAGAAGTTATTGGGGCAGGTTATGGGAGTGAGTTTGAACAAGATGTGTGTGTGTGCGTATGTGTGTGTGTGTTGTCTTATTTTGCTGCCAGTCTGGCTGGGCTCCCTTGAGGCTGTGACAATCATTCGTCAGTTTCCTCTCACATGAAAGGCTGTGTCCCTTCTTCTGAGATCCGAAGAGGCTCATCAGAGGAAGGAGAGGTGGGGGAAGAGGGGTGAGGAGAGCACAGGGAGAGAGCAACAGGGCCAGTGTCCCAAGAATCCTTCAGGGACTTCCGAAACAGACAACTTTCAAACCCTGGTGCCTTCGTACCCTTAATTTGTCTGGGACTTCTCAGAATTTATTAAGCAGCCCATGTGTATTTAGCCTTTATTCTCTATAGAAAGCAATGTCACTCTAAACAAGCTACAAAGAATAAATGAGCAGCCGGCTTAAAACTACAATTAAAGCCATTCTTGCTGATTTTCGAAAGAGATTTAGGAGGTTACGTGCATCAGCAAGAGGTAATGGCTTTACCAAACAAGATGCTACAGTCACACAGACAAATCATCTTCATGTCATGTTTGCCTATTAGTATCAAACTGAAACTCACATATTGTTATTCCTTAATGAGCTATGCAACCTAACAACATCATTTTGTTGAACGGCACCATTTCTAGCCATTTCACTTGCAGGTACCAAATGCTGCACCACAAAAGCACCAAGAGTTCATTAGCTGAGATGTTATCATTCACACCTCTTGAGTGTGTGTGTGCAGGCTGCTGCCGGGATGGTAATTTGTGGTGCAGGTGGGACCTCTTGCAGCAGCAGTTACTGACAGCATTGTCTTGAGTGCCCTAGCCTTAATACGCCTGTGTGTTCATGGATGTAATAGGACGAGCTGACTGCCTTACAACAATGGAGTCTACCGCTGTAAAATTTACAGGTCTGCAGGGGAAATTTCTGAGATCATAATTTAGGCCAGTCTAATCCCACTGAAAAAGGTCCTGGCGACAATTGTTTTGGTTACGAATATATATACAGTAAGCAACACGAGATGCTCTTTGCAAATGGACAGTCATCACATTGAAGTTGACTGTCCACCAAGGCCCCAAAGAGTATGCGGCGACATCAAAAAATCCTGGTGGGCACACAAAGTAAAATCTAAGCCAGGAAAAGTCGAAAGCAAACTTTTACAGTTAGCAGGATCCCCGGCTCTTTCAACACAAATATGCTTGTCATTCATTCTGTCCGTCCATTTTCTTTTCATGTCGCTTTTCACATTCTACATTCCTAGTTTGGTCTCACTCGTTGCCATCCTTCCAGAACATTTCCTGCTTCGTGAGCGGTTCTTGGGGGCTGTTTCTTCATTCGGTGCGTTTATCACTACAGGTGGGCTCATTGCAGAGCCGCAGGCTCACTGACAGACCTTACAATTCAAACAAAAGTTTGCTGGGATTTTCACCGTGTGACATTTCAGCTGTAAAAGACTGCGCAGCCACGAGCCAAAAATGCTAACTAAAGGCTGTCTTGCATCGAGATCACAAAAGCCGGAAAATCCACTGGTGTTTTTAGAACACACCTATTTTCAAACACACATTTAGTGTCAGCAACGCACATGATCTGTTTTCTGTTTACTGACTGTGCCTTGCACAGCTGTGACACCATTGGACTTGGAAAATCAATCCAGATGCTGTATAAACCAGCTAAATGGCGTATCCCCAACCCCACACCCCCCCTCACCCCCCCACACACACAAACGCACACACCCTCACAATGTGAATACAATACCTGCCACACTGTTGTGGCTCGTAATGACAACGCCAGATGATTGTTTCTGTGTTTTCCATGACAATGTGTCATATTCTCAGCAGACATTTCTGCTGTACCTCTAATTAGCTCGCTTATGCATTCCTATTCTGAAAATGGGCCATTGTCTGTGTGAGAGAAAAAGCAACATCAGGTCACGAGGAGGTGTGCACTGACAAATGGGAGCCGTGTGTTTGCACGGAGTGGAATTCTCCAGACGTCTAAATCGAGCTAACTGATTTAAATGCAAATGAAACATCGGCTTTTTCCTTTGTAACATTCAAGTTCAAGTGGTTGAACTTGAGTCTTACACCGGGCACTTCTCACCTCCAAACTTCTTCTTCCAGTTGCAAGGGATCTTGCAGCGTTGAGTCTTGATGGTCTGCTTGCAGTCCGAGCCGGTGCGGGTTCCCTCCCTGGTGCCAAGTCCACAGTCTCCCTCGTTGGCTACACACACACTCCACTGCCAGTCCCCACAGTCAGACTTCCGTTCCTTCTTCCCTGTAAGATCAGTCACTACCGTTAAAAAAGACTGCAACCAGTCTTGTCCAAGTCTGTTTAGTGTAAATGTGAACGACGTCTGTTGAACCAAGTAAAGAGGACTTGGAGTACCTAAATCTCTACAACATCTCTATTACACATCACACAATATTAATATGTTATAACACTATTATATTTTGATCGATGGTGGAAACACAAAAAAAAGTACATACTTTGAAAAATGCTTACTGAGATGTTACCTTTTTGCAAATGATGTCAAGAAAAGTTATTTTCTTTAGTTATTTTTGTATTCTGTGTTAAACATGTTTCAATAAATAATCACATAATTATTATTATTTTTTTGTGGTTTTCTTAAGAATTTGGCATTTGTCAAGGTTCCAAAATGCTGCAAATTGATTTAAATTTAATCGCCATGCATTTGAGCTTTGGACTGACTGAACTCACGGGGGCTTAAGTGGCACGCTTAATGCTGAAATTATACTGAAATGTATCACTTCAAATTCCAGGTGCCGCCCCACTCAAGCCATAAATATCTCAAGCAGAGCATGAATCTTGAGGGGGGAAAGCTAAATTACATATGATCAAATGCAAGAGGATGGTTATGCATTTAATTTCCTGCGGCCTTCAACAGTTTTACAAAGGCACTGCTTTGCTATTGGCTACAGCGAATGAGCTCTTAGGTCAGGCAAGGAGTTGAATGACTCAGGTTAAAGGAAAAGATCTCACAAGAGGAAATTAATCCACTTTCAATGGCTTTTTTTATTTTATTTTTTACTTTTATCTATAACATTGTTGTTGTTTTGTTTCGTTTAGTTTTTTGCTTTAAGTTCTGTCTGTTGTGACCCAGAACTGTAAATCGTCATCACATAGCAATTCTGCTCACCTTGTTTCTCCGCTTTGCCTCCTTCCGCTGCCATCACTGTTAGGAGCAGGAGTGCCACAACAGCCACCCATGGCCAATGCTTCTGTCCATTCATTCTAAAAACAAAAAGCAAAACATGAAAAAGGAGGAGGCCTTGATATATTTAGGAAATCACGGTTGATGGAGAAGTTGTAACACTTGCCTGCAGTATCAAGAGATCATTAAATATAAAACATGTGAAAATGTTATCGTGTATAGTTTTTCAGTTTTTAGATGTCAGGGGATGAGATGGATATTCAAATCACACTTGATAGCGTCTCATCCTTTCTTTAGCTGTCAGATTATGTAAAACTGCCCCAAGACTTGTGTTTTCACAGGCAGCAGAGGCTTTGACTCCAGAGGGGCTCTCTGACCTGCACAATATTCAGTTTTATATCAGCACTGAGAAAAGATGCACCACATTTCTTCTATCACATCGTGACGACCTGAGGACTGGAGCTGTGTGAGCTATGTGGCATATATAACGTTCTGGTCATGGTTAAAACTGTTAGCCTGGAAGGGAAAGCATGCAATATGCATTTGTCATTTTATGTCCATCACTAGATTTTTTTTATTTGTCAGCTTTTCATTTGTCTCAATGACCTTGGAAGATGAAAACTGTGATTATTTGCTGTTACCGCAGTAGATTTAGTTTAAAAGTTAATGTCTTCCAAAACTTAGAAACTCATAATTGAGCCTCATGGTGGAGCCTGTAGTTGCTTAATGCCAGAAGAAGTCATTTGAATCTTTCTCATGATTGATTTTTTTACTTTTCTATTGGTGGCAGCTCACAGCCAAATCCAGTTTTGATTAGATACTTCAGGCTCTATCTCCCAATTTCATTTGATGTTGACTCTGAAAGAATCCAAATGCTCATTTTCGTAACCTAAAAATGATGAAAGAAATCACTGAATCCCAACCGTATACAATGTGTAAACAATGAGCTCTAAAAATTCAATAGAAAAAAGTCAATAAATGCCTCCTGATAAAGACATTCTCCCTGAAAAGAAAGTTCAGAAGTGTGAGTTTCCCCCACAGTTAGCCTTGAAGAGAAGGATGCATGGTGCAATGAAGACATAAAAAGGGGCAGGTATGGTGGCTTTGACTGAGCACCCCGTTCAGAAGGCCATGATAAAATGTCTTACAATTCAGCTGACTTCTCCAAATCCTCCAGAGCTGGAGAATCATGTAAGATGGCACATTTCTCTGATACTTGAAGTCAAAAGTTTAACTAAAAGTATCCATGAAACTCCCATTCCAGGAGCGTGACAGTACCTATAAAGGATGCCCGGGTGAGCACTAGACACTCATTCAGTACGCATGTGTGCAGCATGTGTAACACTTTGATAAGAAGTGCTGAGGAGTGCCAAAACCAAAAGGTTGCTCACATGATTTTCCATTAATGCTCTCTCTCATTATCCTCACATTCAGAAACTCCAACTGCTTTGGTCATAAAAACAAACTCATACTAAATTAGATCCAGACAGATATGCAAAAAAAACTGGTGTTTTCTCCTCTCAAGTCTCAGCTCTAGGCAACTAAAAATTCCCAAGACCCTTGTAATTTGGCTTCCACTGTCCTAAGTACTATTACTGATGTCAGTAATAAGCCGAGATGCTCTTTCTTTTGTCTAGACGTTTGAAGAAATAGATCTTTTGAATTTAAAAAAAAGTATCATAGTCATCTACTTCAGTTTATATGAAAGCAACTTTTTTATCCTTAGAAAGCAGGATTGTACAACCAAAAGTTTAAGAAAAATGAAACCCTTTAAATAAAAGAGTGAATGCCCTGAGGGTTGTAGTAAATTTTAAAGCTCTGTAAAAAGTTTGAAAAAAGTTCATGATTTTATTTTCCACCTGAGAGGCAAGATCTGAGATAAGAGGGTGTGTCTGGTATATATATTACACATCACGTTAGACTGGGGCAAAATCTAGCAAAAACACAAAAGCCCATTATAAACAAACACAGATAAAGTGACTCTCGAGGACGCACTGATCACAATCGATTGGAAACAAATTACGAATACTGACAGAAGATTTCCTGCATGTCCTGCGCATTCCAAAACCAAGGTGTTCAGTCTGAACCAAACAAATGGTGTTTACAGACCCCCAAGACCTGAGAGAGAGGCTGAGAGATTAGTTTCATACTTTCTATGTGAGGGCAATCGACTATGCCAGGCAAGGAAACCACACTAACAGATTCAGGCTATGCGCACTGTCTGCACAAGTGGGAGAATGTGTTTAAATAATTTACTTATTCCAGACTTGTGAAATGACGTTCTCATGTTTCTTTTTAGAGCCAGCAGATTCACTGAAGAAAGTTCTAACATACTGAACACTGCCCTTACATTAATCATTGTTTCTGGTTGAATGACTGTCATGTTTTTCAGCATGTTGAATAGTGGTGTTCGGATATATCATTAGTTAAAGATTTTTCCAGGAAAAGTTCACTGTAGGCCAATGCGCTGTTTTCAGGACTTCTGGAGCATAAAGTCAAGATGTCATCCCTTGAGCTAAGAAGGGAACAGGAGAACTTAAAGTTTGCAAACCTCGCACGTGTGAGGGTAACATAACAGTCATTGGATGGTTAAGTGGTTGAATTACTTTTAGCAAGCCATCCAAGTTTGTTCAATTGATTCAGACGCGGCTGTGTTTTTCCAAGTCAGGTGAGCTGAGGTAGAGGGAAGCCAATACTGGCCACAAATCAATGGACCTTCAGTGTCCCCTTTGTGAGCTTAAGCATCTTTGTGAGCTTAAGCATATCTGCAGAGGAGACAAAAGCTAAACTCAAAATGTTCAGTGGAATATGCTAGTATACACAGTAGTGCAAAGTCCTAGAATGAGGCTGCATCATAGGTAACTCTGGATGAATATTGTTTTAAAAGTTGGCTGAAAGTTTTCCTAGCGTCTACAGTCAAGGAGAATATCATCAGTGGGCAAAATTCCTCACACGTATGTACTATTTTCTGATTTTCTCACTGTGTGATTCACACATTTTCGTGCTATTTCTTTTTAATGCGACGCAGACTCCAACAGAATCCCTTTTTTTTCTTCTCTTCAACATACCATGCTCAAACTACACTGATTTCACTGTGAGTAGTTGTATCCAAAGTGGTTCAGACTTGCCTTACAATTTTTTAACAGCGGGCTAAATAACACAGAGTTTTCATTTCCTGATGAGTGATGTCCTTCCAGTAATTCGCCTCCCAATGTCTACCTCCTAAAAATTCAATTGGATTTTCAGTGCAAACATGACACAGTGTAAAATAGGGTAATTAAAACCTCAGCTATCACCCACCGAGGCACCTATATATTCTTTCAATATTTGTCAAGAAACTGTATCTCTATGTACTGAAGTGTGAAAATGTATTTTTTTAAACCAGTCTGTTTCGGGCTGTTGTCGCCTTTTAAACAGAAGAAATCAATGAATACTCTGAACACCACATTCTAAGTATCATCACACTAAACAGTTTTCTCAAAAGATTGGATTCCAGAAACAAAACAGCTATTGTTTGTGTGTGGTTTCTAAAGAGCAAGTTGGGGACCAAACACTTTAATGGGAAGCTCAGTGACTAAGGAAAGAACATCAATAACTCGGATCCTTGTTAAGTGGTAGGAGGATTCAGGCAAAGTTGTTCATGTGGAAATTACTATTTAATAAGGGACTGACAGGTACTTTAGTGACAGGCCAAAAATATGTTTAGCTTAGCCTGGATTGGTCAAATGGTGATATGTGGCAATCTTGACTCACTTGCAAAGTGAGTACAGGATTAAAACACTTTATCACGATACTGCACACCAGTGATCTCAGACCCTGGTCCTCAAAGCCCACAGTTCTGTATGTATTCCATGTTTCCTTATTTGTTTATTTATTTGAATCAGGCGTGCTGGAGATGGGGAAATTTGGAAAACAAGTGATATTGGTGGGCCTTGAGGACCAGGGTTGGGAAACACTGCTGAAGCCCATCGGAACAAAAGAAAACCACAAAAATACTAAAGCTGAAGTGCATGTTAAAACTAATATTCATGACCAGGCCTGTTTTCCCTTTTTTATCTGTCAAGATATCCACAAAGACATTAGGCTGAAACACATAATTCAGTAGAAACACTTTATTTTAGTTTGCCGCATCCCACTTTTGATATCAAAATAAGCAAAATGATAGAACACTATGGTTTATCTTTCCTGTATAAGCTCTCTTTTCATTGTGTTGCTATCAAATCTTTTGCATGAGCAGTGTAGTTGCTGCTTCTTTTTTAAAGTTCAATCAGGCATTCTCAGCAGGAACAGAATTGATCTTCCTATTTAAATTTGCACGCGCTGGCAAAAAAACAAACATGAATTAACAAGACGGCAATGCAGAACACAACATATCAGACGAAAATGTCCTTGAATAACTATTTGCATTCATACAGTCACTTTTTGCCGTAATGAAATTCAAAAAGAAAAGCCATGACACTGACTATTTTTTGTTTCCTCCATTGTTTATCTTCAGTCACAGAGAGAATCATTCTAAGTCCTTGGGAAAAGCCATGCAGAAAAAATCCCTTCTAAGTGGCTTTCCCATCTCAGCCATTGTGATTGGGAGGAGGGGAGGACGCTTCACAGAGACACTGGGCATATTGAAAGGATTTATTTAGGAGTTTCTCTGCCTCTGTGTGCTAACATCTCTCTGACGCTCGGCTTTTGAGAGATGCTAGTACAGATGAAAAGAGAAGTGTATTGAGATGGAGCGAGTGGCACATATTTGAAAGAGGGAGACATGCATGTTAATTCAGGTGTGTACTGAGCCGAACAATCAAAACAATACAATGAAAAATCAACATTCAAATGCATGAAAAATGTTGGCCAAAAACATACGAAAAACTGAAGGGATAACCATTTGAGCGATGATTGAGAATGTGCTGCTGGGGAAAATAATGACTCCGGGTATGACAATGATTTGAAAATAAATAAAATAATTATCTCATAAAGCTGTGGGATTCCTCAAATGAGTCCCGGCAACATTTGTCATGTGTTTGGGTGCAGATGATTAGAGGGAAATGCCACACATTTTTGACTTGTGTTTTGTAAAGGTCAGACCG